CGCACACGCACTGAAACATTTGAAATGATGGAGAAATATTTACTAATGAAGATGAATGGGCTTTCTAGATTATGAATCAGCACATATGGAAATTTTAAATAGATTAGCTTGGATTAAGGTCATAGGTAATACACCGGACAGAAGAATTAATAAGCAAGAAGTTAGCCCTGTTTAATCACTTTCCCCAATTTAAAGCCTGACATGGTTACTCAATAGATTAGATCAATCTCCAGGCACATTAAAAAAAATACTCTTCAACTACAATGCTTTAAAGAGGTCTTTTAGGTAATCTTTTCAGAAACGGTAACTAGCCAAGTTTACATTATAAGGTTGATGGAATCAAGTAATCCACAAGTGTTTGTTAAACCTCTGCAGTGCGCTCATGTGACATCCAGGCCATAGTCCATGACTGTTCTGCCCTTTCTCACTAAGAACGTCTGTGTCTACGTATTTATTTCCTCACCACTACTCTTGAATTCTCCGCCTCCGCATTTGCTTTCTTTTCTAAAATAATAAAAGTTTATCTGATTGTGAAAATGATCCCTGCTCATTGTAAAATATCTAAAATTTACAAAGAAAAAGTGAGCATCACGTTAATTCTCACCACCCAGAAATGACCACTATTAACATTTTAGCAGCTTTTCTTTCAGACATGCCTATTGGTCAGTGGTTCTTTACTTTCTTTTTGGATCATGAGTGCCTTTGAGATTCTGATAATAGAAAAATACAAATATACACAGACTTCTGAAACTTTACAGATGATTTTGGGAGCCTCCTATACTTACTGAAGCCCATCTGAGGGCCCCCATGGAACTATTTGCTATTTAGTAAACTGCCTTTTTCACTCCACATTGTGACCTGAACACCTTTGCACTTCAGTGAACGTGGGTCTACTTCAGCGCGTTTACTGGCTACACAGATTTCTTATCTTATAAATGTCCTATAACCACAGAACCAGTTGCCTATTGGGCATTTGAGTGGTTTCCTGCTTTTGGCTATTATAAATGGTTTATGTGTTATTCCTTATAAGTAACCTTTTCCTTTGGCTGCTTTTAAGACCACCTTTTAATCTACAGTTTCATTGTTTGTATATCCAGGTGTGGCCATGAACATTCTTATAAACATATCTTTGCCACTTTTGTGAAATCAAATAATATGCACGTGTACATTTTTCACACATATTGCCTTACTACCCTCCTGAACAACTCGTCCTTTCGTTTTCACTAAGGACTCTCCATCTGGTTCCTGGTCAGCACCAAGTCTTTTAGGCATCGGTCTGTTAGTCCTTTTGAGCTCTTTTTCCCGTCTGTTAACTGGGAGCACCTGGTTCTCTGCCTACTCTGTCTGAGGATTTGTACTTGATACGTATTGTCCCAGCTGCACCAGACCCTTGAGAAGTAGAGGGAGGTCCCACTTTGGTCTAAAACTTGAGAGAAGAATTATTTTTCTCCCCAAGGTCCCTTCTTCAGTTGTAGCCATTGAGGGTGGAGAAAAAGATAGACAAAAGAAAACCCTAATTGGAATAGAAAGCATATTGGTTAGGAACATGGGCTGTTGTAAGGATTGAATGGGAGTTTATCTATGCATGCACACACACGTTCCTTAGTTTTACACAAGGGACAGCACATGGTAAGTACAATAGCTTCTGATACTAATAGAAATAACCAAGCTTGAAGAGCCCTGGAAAATTAAGTAGCATTTGATTGGCTACTAGTCTCCTTTACGAAACTCTTATATTTCCCATCTGAATGAAAATTGTAATTTTTGAGGCTCTTGCCTAGAATAATACACTAGTGTTGTTGTTGCTGTTAGTTGCTGTCAAGTGGGCTCCAATTCATAGCAACCTTATGCATAACAGAACGAAACACTACCCGGACCTGCGCCATCCTGACAGGTGGTAAGTGTGAGCCCATTGTTGCAGCCACCGTGTCAGTCCCTCTCATGGAGGATTTCCCTCGTTTTAGCTAACCCTCCACTTTGTCAAACATGATGTCCTTTTCTAGTGATTGATCGTTCCTGATGACGTGTCCAAATTAAGCAAGACAAAGTCTTGTCATTCTCACTTCTAAGGAACATTCTAACTGTACTTACTCCAAAACTGACATTGTTTGCCATCACCACAATTCAAATGCATCAATTTTTTCTTGATCTTCCTTTTTCATTGTCCGGCTTTCACACGTATATGAGATGATTAAAGACCATGGCTTGGGTCAGGCGTACCTTAGTCATCACAGTGACATCTTTGCTTTTTAACACTTTAAAGAGGTCTTTTGCAGCCAATTTCCCAGTGAACTATGTCATTTGATTTCTTGACTGCTGCTAACATGGGCACTGATTGTTGATACAAGTGGAATGAAATCCTTGACAACTTCAATTTCTTTGCCAATACTAGTGTAGTAGATACTTAACCTGATACATGGAGATTGATTGTACCAGTTGGAACCACTTTCAACAATGAAAAAACCTAAATGAATAAATTTCAAGTGGCTCGGACTTCAGGGCCTCTCTCAAAAGAAGTAGATAAGCAGATGTTTTGCATTTTAAGGAGAAAGGTCTGGAAGTGTGTGGTAACTGACTCAAGTTGGCATGCTTTTAAAACTGGGTCGGGGGTTGGTTTTGTACGTATATGGTAGTGTAACTGAACACGTAGGAGTGGAAAATAATTTGATGGAGTGCTAATAGACTTCTATAGAGAACATTCTCGTTTCCTAGGTGCAAGCCTTCCTTTCTGAGTTGCTGTCCCTCTAACATATTCTCACTTGGGTTTCAGGTGCCATTACTGCAAATCCTCGTGCCACGTGTCCTCCCTTCGCATTCCATATGCCTGCAAGCTGCTCTTCCAGGAACTGCAGTCTATGAACATTATCCCCAGATTAAAACTATCCAAGTACAATGAGTAAAGGTGGGAAAAGATGATTATTTAAAGGGGACAATCAATATGTCCAATTCAAAGGACACAGGGATTGAGGACTACTTTTCTGCTCCTGTGAATAATTCCTTTGAATGTTCTCTCTCAAAAAAAAAAAAATCTGATGGGGGAGGGATGGTCTACACTAGAAGACTGACTGAAACATCTGTGATAAACGAGCCTGGGGTTACGGGAGTGATGCCAACAACATGGACTCTAACACCGTCGGCTTGTACTTATACTAGATTGGAGACACAATGGAAATGACCTAAAAGATACATAAACTTTTATTACGTTTGGATATCTTGACATCTTCTTATTAGAAAAGACCTTACTCCGAAAAAGGAATATTTGGGGTTCAATTCTCCATGATACCTTCTGGCTAACACAAATTAAGATTCTTCAGAAAGCTGACAGTGTGAAGAATGCCGCCTGAGGTGGTGAGCTTGGCCTCTGTTGAGATGCGCTGCCTCTGAACAATATGTGGAGAAAGGCCTGTGTGAGGCCGAAGTATTGGCTCATAAAGGGATGGCTTTCTTATCTGGTACTGTGAGGACATAAATTTTCCCAACAGTTGAATCTTGCCCTTACACACCCAAACGTTTCCATTTTAATCTTGGTGAAATAGAATAAATATATTCCTGCCTTCTTAAGTTTGCCAAGGATGTCATCTTTTCTTATGGATTCAATTGGTACTCCTTTGAACCTCCATGATTGTACCAGGCCGTAATATTTGTTGAACATCTGAATATAACTGAATGGATGCTTTGTAATTTTTCTGCCAGAATGCTAGCTGTCTACTCTTCTTTTGTCTGACAGCCTTCCTTCCCCATTTGTTCTGAACTACTCAGGACTGAAGCGAGATAAATATTTGTGTTGAGGATTGTTTATAAAATTAGAGCCAGAAAAGCTTTGAGTAATGGTCCAAGACTGCATTCCCTAGCATGTCACGTTGAATACTAGTTCCCCTAGGATGTGGACAGGTATTACATACCAAGGCTGCTAACCAAAAAGTTGGTGGTGCAAGTTCACCCAGAGATACCTTAGAAGAAAGTCCCGGTGATATACTTACTAAAAATCAGCCTTTGAAAACCTTTTTCTTCTCTGACACACGAGATCACATGAGTCAGAATCAACTCAACAACAACTGGTGGTAGTGATTGATGCACCAAGGAGAATCAAGTTCCAGTGTCAAAGGAGTTGGGGAAAATGGGTGGAAAAAGGTAAACATACCACAGGACTTTTTTGAAGACTTTTTCAAGCTAGTGTGTATTATGACTCTCCAAAAGAGGGAGGCTCGAGGAAACCAATTAGTCATTGACTTGAGAACCCAACTTCTACATCACTTTATTTTTTTCACAATAAAAATCTCTTAACGGGAATTAACGTCGTAGTAAAAGCATAATGAAAGACACCCCACAGGTGAGCAAGTCCTCCTCAGGTGTCACTAAAAAAATTAAAAAATTGCTGTTGAGTCAATTCCAATTCATGACAACCCCATATGTTTCAGAGTAGAACTGCACTCCATAGGGTTTTCTTGGCTGTGACCTGCACATCCCCATTCACTTCAGGGATCTGATGGGCATTACAAGGACAGAGTAGGTTGAATGCCCAGATCTTCAGTTATGCCCTTTGTTCCTTCCTTTAGTCTGGCATGTAGTTCTCAAAATTGATTCTGTGTAAAGATTATTGTGCTGGATTGAACATACAAATCATGTATACTGTACTTTGTGGGCTATTTATAGTTTTTTAGAGTGATTTGACTTTTCACGTGGCATTGCAACATGTGGCACATCATTCCCATTAACGCCCAGAGGGTCCTCTTTCATTCAGTCTTGTTATGTGAGAGGCGCTGTAGTAAGGATAGAAGGAACTCCTAACCAAGTGGTGAGGCAGAGACATGTCCGTTAGTCACAGTACACATTCTGGGATAAGTGCTAAGGGTCAACCTAATCAGTGCTGAAAGAGCATCAAGGATGAAATTATTAACTCCGCTCTGAAGATTTGGAAAGACAAGCATACGATTCCCTTTATACACTTAAAGACACTGAGGCGCTAAGTGGCTGACTGACTCCCCCAAGGCCACCCCACTAACCAAGGAACAACATGGGCTTGTTGACCAGGCTTTCTGACCTAGAAGGGCTTTGTTTTGATTTCAACCATGATTATATTTTCAGTCATCAAAAATGACAGTTTTTCTAATGGTGATGGAATAATTTGGAAAAGGATAGTGAGAATAGCAGCACAACTAGAAGAATGTAATTGATGTTACTGAATTGTACATGTAGAAATTTTTGAAATGGTATGTCTTTGGCTATGTATATTTTCACCAAAAAAGAAAAAAGGTCCTCCAAGCTCGAGAAGGGAGAGTGTTGACGTGTTGTGGGTTTGTTAACCAATGTCATAAAACAATATGCATACTGACTGTGTAATGAGAAACTATTGATTCTGTAAACCTTCACCTAAAGTACAATAAAAAAAAAAAAGTTGTTTTTTAAAAGTGACAATTTTTTTTATTTTAAATTCAAGTGCCACTAAGTGGTCATATTTCTTAGAGGTAAGCATCTTTTTTGGAAAAACATTCCAGGCAATCTGAGCATTTTGAGGGAAGGTCACCTATTTAGCCTTCTAGGAAATTCTAAGTTCTCTGTATTTACAAGATCTAGAAAGTGTGGGTTCCAAACTGAAACATCTTTATAGGAACAAATTGTGGCAGAGTGAGATTTCAAAAGCTAGTAGATACTACATTTGAATAGCTATTTGACTCTGAGAAATACGTTAGTAAAAATAGGTTAGAAATGGTTGGCTCTATTATTTTATTTTTAGAAGTTATTTGTAAGTTCCTTGTTTTCAAAACTTAGCAAGCAAATTTCTGTTTCCAATAATGATCGAGTAACTTTTTATAGCCCACCCTGGAAGCACTTTCTCCCTTGTAAAAATGGTGGCACGGGGGCATCTGACCTCTGCTAACTTCAGGAGGGGGAGGAGAGAGAATCACCATCAGCTTCAGCCCAAGGCAGATTCCTGTGTGGTGAAGGTCAGACGTATTTCCTCTCTCTAACGTTTTTACCAGTTCTGCCACCAGCCATCCCTCCCAGGGCACTCTCGACTTCACTCCTGGGTTTGATAATTCATTGCAATGGCCACAGAGAACTCACAGACCATATTCATGATTATGAAGTTTATTAGGAAAGTAACAGGTTACAATTCAGGATCAGGAACAACTCAGGATATAGTTCTTTGGTCAGGACAGCTTCTCAGCTGTGCCCACAGGCAGGCCTCTCTGGCACTCAGCCCCTCAGCCTTTTCGCTTGGCCTCTGCCCTGCTTGGGCAAGTGTTACAAAGATCTTTAGCTCTACCATTAAGTTCCCAGAGGCACCCCACTCTGCGAGAAAGCCTCCTGCCCAAAGGTACTAAGCTCTTAAGCTCTGTGGGTCAGCATACCCACTATAGCTGCTTCGCTCCGTGGGCTGGGAAGCCCACTGTGCCATCTTGTGTCAGTCTTCAGGTTCTGTTGCTGCCATTTCTCTGCTACTGCTTCTCACCATCTCGCGCCGTCTCTGGTGTTACAGCTCTCTCTCTCTCTCTCTGTGTCTTCAGTCTAGGAGGTTTTCAGCACAGGGACTCCAGGTCCGAAGGACACACTCCACTCCTGGCTCTTCTTGGTAGTAGTAAGATCCCCTCCTTCACACCTCTGGGATTGGCTCTCTTCTAAGCCTCGCTGGATGGCAAAACTGACCAATCCCCTCATTAGGGTTCCATACAACTTATTTGCACGGCCCCACCCCCACAAGGATTCCATGCACATTATTTGCATTGTTAGCAAGTTGTCCAGTTTCCTTGGTGAGCCATAAGCACCTTATTTGCATAGTCCCACCCAATCGCTGTGGGCGTTACAAGACCACGCATGGCTAAAAGGACCATATTAAGTAATTCACTGCACTGCATCCCTCAAGCAAGGCCTTTGCCAGCTCAGAAATGGATCATGGATGGCAGGCTTAAGCCAAGCCAAAGCCATGAAGAGGCAAGCCTGACCTGAAGTTTTGACAGAATCAAAGCTAGGGAGAGAAAACTGTGGGCTTAGAGTTGTCAAGACCCAGGGGCAGATTAACCGTAAGCAAGGTACCACAGACTTAATTGTGTTTACTTACTAATCTCTAGTGCACCATTACACATGGGTTTCACCACATCTTTTTCCCTGCCAAGACCCCAGGACTGGAGAGGCCAAGATCTCAGGTAGAAGGAAGCTCACTGAGGTGAGCCCAAATTTCTCTACCACTTTCCCTATAAGGCATTTGCCAGTTCATAACAGGGCAGGCCAAACTGTTGGCAGTGTCTACCAAAGCTGAGCATACTATGTAATGTTATCATGAAATCACTTTCTGTCACGCAGCAAATCCATTCCTAGGTGTATGCCTAGCAGGGATGGTATGTATGTGTTATCAATAAACATGTACAAGAATGTTTATAGCAACAGTACTTCTAATTAGCCCCCAAGTTGTAAGTAACCCTTGCCCAATCACAATAGAATAGATAATTGTGTTATGTTCATACTATGGAATATTATACAGCAATTAAAATTGAACTGCTACTAAATATAGATTATATCACAAATATTCATTGGGCAAAAAAAACACAAAAGAGTACATACTGTATGGTTACATTCATATAAAGTTCAAAAGTAGGGAAAACTATGATATAACATGTCGAGGGAAGGGTTGCTTTTGCAGAGAAGATAGCCATTGACTGGGAGGGAGCAGGAAGGCTTCTAGGGTGCTGGTGATTTCTTTTTTTTCCCAAGTGTTGGTTATATAGGTGTATTCATTTTATGAAAACTCATTAAGCTATACACTCAGGATTTTTTACTTTTCTGAAAGTATGTTATACTGTAATAAATAAATAAATTTATTTAAAAAAAAACCTATCAGGTGACATAGCAGTCAAGGATATAGGCTTTAAACCTGTATTTCAATCTGTTCACTTACTAGATATGTCACCCCAAATATAACATATTGTCTTTGTTCTTTTAGTTTTCCTGCCTTCAAAATAGGGATAATAATAGTATTGATTAGAAAACCAGTTGCTGTCGTCGATTCTGACTCATGGTGACCCCATGTGTGTCAGAGTAGAACTGTGCTCCATAGTATTTTCAATGGCTGATATTTTGGAAGTAGGTTACGAGGCCTTTTTTTCCAAGGAGCCTCTGGGTAGGCTCAAACCTTCAACCTTTCATTTAGCAGCCAAGTGTGTTAACTGTCTGCACCAGCTCGGGACTCCTCACGAGGACTCCTATCAACACATAGGGCTATTTTTAAGATGAATTGAGACAACGCGTCTACAAGACTGAGCACACTGCCTGGTACATAACAAGTGCTCACAAATGTTTGTTCTTATTTTCATTGATAACAGTCCTATCACAATCCTTCCCAACAGCACTGCCTGTCCTATACTGCCTCTGCAGCAAAGAGCCTTAGCAGGAAAGAGTTAGGAAAGGCAAACTCCGAGCTTCCTTTGGAAATAGGAGCTTGGAATTGAAGACCAAGGGCAGAAACTGTTGGGTTTTGCAAAAGCTATTTGTGAAAGCCTCCTGTTTAACTGCGATGGGGAGGGTGGAAGGTGATGGAATTAGAGAAACTTACTTCCCTGGAGCAACCATTTACTATTGACATCAAAGTAAGGCCTGTTGTCAGCACAGGAGTCCCGGAACCAACTCTCCAAACGGCTTCCACGTGCTGAGAGTCAAGTAAAGGATTTTTTTTTTTTTTAAGTCCTTGATTGGGTGCTGCCTAATGAGATAGTTTTCAGCTGCTTCAGAGTATTTTTGGCCAACACCTTTCTTCGCAGTAATGAGTCACATGAGAGGGAGTACATTAGGGCTAGTGGCCAGGCCCCTCTGTTCCTCAGCCAGCTGAGTAACAGAGAAGCCAGTTTCTGAGAGACCTGCAAATAATTCCACTGTGAAGCGGATGGTCAGAAAAGTGACTGTAAAAGTAGCACCTCTTTACCATCCATATTTACTCCATATGTCTCCAGCACAGTTTATTTCATTTGCTGACCAAAAGTTGGATTTTTACTACACCAACCCCACAGGGCCAAGGTTGGTTTGGGAAGTTACAGTCAGCCTATAAAAGGCAGCTTTAAATAGAAAACGAAAAAAAAAAAGTGATGATCCAAAAGTATATGCTGTTACCAAAGCAGAGCCACCAATCTGAATTTCAGACACAGGCTCCAGGAGCCGTTAAGAGAGTTGCTTTGGCAAATCAAGCTTATTGTGATCAGGATGTCATGGTAGAAAATTTCAGAATAACCTGAAACACACATTGTCACTCTCAAGTCTAAAATCTCACACTATGGATTTGAAGTATTTTTCAAGTCCAGGTAATAGCACTCATTCCGTGCATAATAAATTTTAAGTCTGGTTAACTCCCAATCATCCACGTTGATGGAGACGAGGAGTGGCGTGAATAAATTAAAACAGATGATGGATGTGAAATCTGTTGTATTTGTCACTAGAGTGAAGTTTGCATTTACATGCTCACTATAACTTGAGGGAAGGTTTGATGAATTTGCATACTTCGTGTAGTAACTCCTATGAACACTATTTGAAAAAACTGGAATAATAATACCCTTGTGGTTAAATAAGGAGCCCTGGTGGCGCAGTGGTTAAAGTGCCCAGCTGCTAACAAAAACGGCAGCAGTTGGAACCCACTAGCCACTTCAAGGGAAAAAGATGTGGCAATCTGTTTCCTTAAAGATTTACAACACTGGAAACCCTGTGGGGCAGTTCTACTCTGTTCTACTCGCTATGAGTTAGAATCGACAAGGGTTTGGTTTTTTGTGGCACAGTGGTTAAGAGCTCAGCTGCTAACCAAGAGGCCTGCGGTTGGTACCCACCATCTGCTCTGCAGTAGAAAAGACCTGGCAATCTGCTCCTGTAAAGAGTTCAGCCTAGGAAGCCCTGTGGGGCAGTTCTACTCTGCTCAATAGGGTCGTTGTGAGTTGGAATCAACACGACAGCACTCAACAACAACAGCAAGATGGTCAAATAATGATAGGAGATTCTGGGAGATGAGGAGGGAGAAATCTGACAGCTGGAATGATTCTAGGCCAGTGGTTCTCAAAGTGTGGTCCCTGGACCAGTAGCATGAGCATCACCTGGGAACTTGTTAGAACTGCAAATTCTCAGGCCCCTCCCCAGACACACTGACTCAGAAACTCTGTGGGTGGAGCCCAGCAATCTGTTTTAACAAACCCTCCAGGTGAATCCTATGCA